AAGAGAGAATCAAAACAACTCCTCTCGTTCCCATTTTCTCTCTAAGACCAGCCATGGCGATCTCTGAATCCTCGAAGCAATACCTTCTCCCCAGCTTCCTCTACTCCTCTCCCAATTCCTTCTCCCTCGATCCCGTCCTCCTCAACACCAATCCTACCTTTCCTGCTTCACCCCTCGCGGCTCTCGATGGACCCGTTGCTGCTTCGCCGGCGATCAACACAAAGAGCTTCGTCATCCCTTCTCCTAACGAGCCTGGGAAGAAGATCGAGATGTACTCGCCTGCATTCTACGCTGCCTGCACATTTGGCGGAATCCTGAGCTGCGGCCTCACTCACATGGCCGTCACCCCTCTTGACCTTGTCAAGTGTAATATGCAGGTTTGGATCTGGCTCTGCTTTTTTGCTAATGTTGAGTTTCTATGTTTTTTTTGAGTTGATTCGGTGGTTTTCGTGTCGATTATTTTCGAGATTAGGTCTGCAGTATCGGTTCATTTCTAGAAATTTGGGACTCTTTATAATCTTTGTTCGTTTCTATTGGTATGATAGGGAGATCTCTGATTAGCTGTGTATTCGTTTTAATTCGTGTTAGTATCTCTCGTTTCTTCAACTTATCATGTTTGTCATTGTTAATTCAGTGCTTTTTATCACAATTGTTAGAGATTAAACTCTGCCTGTTGACGGTTTTAGTATTAATTGTTCTCGCAGTTAGGCTTGATTAGCTTGTGAGTTTGCTGGTAGCTAATGTTGTTAGCGTTTCATTTCTGGAAATCTGTGGGTGCCTGTCTCAATGGTACTGATAGTTTTTGTGTTTACTGCTCTTAAGAATTATTCTGTATGGAGCTTTAGTTGTCTATCAGTTTTATACTTTTTATTTTTAATTATCGGTTGTAATAATGCCACTGTTTTGGTTTTCGTTTGCAATATTTGTCGGGTAGGGAGATCTCTAATTCGGTAATGTTATTTTCTTATTTTTCATTTGTCGTCAAAATCTTATGAATTGATGTCAATTGGTTTTTCTATTTATTTTATTCATGAAGCTATTTATCTTTTCTCATTTTGAAGCTTCATTACTTTTTTATTTGCTTATCTAGTTTTGATGGCTTTATAATCTTTTTCCTTCTTCTTGAAATTAGGTCCGAAATTACCTAGGAACTGTTTTGAATTGCCCTCCCCCCCTTTTTTTTTTCTTTCTGCAATTCTTTCTTATCTTGTTCGCTCTTTTTCAAAGTTATTTGTTTTTTTTTTTCCTTTTGCTTGTTTTTATTTCTTGGTTAAACTTGTGTATTGAGCTGTCATTTTACACTGCACTTATGTTAGCTTTGAGCTGATAATATCTGTATTTGTAGTTTGTATGTGCTGTTGATTATTTTCATTTTTCTGTGTAGTACTTTTCAATTTTCGTTAACATGAACTGTGACTTGTCTGTTCATAGGATTTTCTTTTACCGCATAGAAGATAGCATCATCTATATCTGAATTTTCATTTAAACTGCCCTTTTATGCTTATTGACTGTTAGTCAGTTCCTGAGCAAGCTGTATTCACGTTTGGCTTGGTTTGGTCTGACCTTAGCGCCATGTTGCTTTTTCTTTCCTCAGATTGACCCTACAAAGTATAAAAGTATCTCATCTGGCTTTGGAGTTCTTCTAAAGGAGCAGGGACTTAGAGGCTTCTTCCGTGGCTGGGTTCCCACACTCCTTGGTTATAGTGCACAGGGTGCTTGCAAGTTCGGATTCTATGAGTTTTTCAAGAAGTATTATTCTGACCTTGCTGGACCTGAGTATTATGCCAAATACAAGACCTTGATCTACCTTGCTGGATCTGCCTCTGCTGAGGTGATTGCTGACGTGGCACTTTGCCCCTTTGAGGCAGTTAAGGTTCGGGTTCAGACTCAGCCTGGTTTTGCTAGGGGCATGGCAGATGGTTTTCCCAAGTTTGTGAAATCTGAAGGCACTCTTGGGTATGGTTTAGGATAATGTTCAATTTTGGGTTCCAGTAATGCAATGAATTGTATATTAGAATAAGCTCGCTAACCATGTTTTTGTTTTGCAGTTTGTACAAGGGAATTGCTCCTCTATGGGGTCGTCAAATACCATGTAAGTTTAGTATCACTCTGCTAATTTTTAATCTGTCAATCTTTTTCTGGACCACTTGCTTTTGTTGTACTAAGTCTATTTGTTTGTTAGTTTTCTTTATATTTACTATCATTTTCAAGATTTGGTTCATTACAATGTATTATGGTTTTTCTTTACCTTGACCATAGGAGTTATGGGTTGCATGTGGCTTCCATGCTTTATGGATATTAGCCAATACTTGGATGCAATTTTGATCTTGTGGAAATTTCACCTTGGAACAATCTGACTATATAGATTTTCTCTTTTGTAGAAATGTTATTTTAAAATTTAAGATGTGGTATAGTCTGCATTTCCCCGAATTTATCAAATTATTGACAAGTTATCATCTGGTTTCCTTCTAGCATTAACTTGAATGTTATCTATCTGCATAAATTTCTTGCCTTCTCTTATTGAAGGAAAGGGTCAATCAAGCATGCCTCATTCATCTGATCTGACAAATGGATGTCATGATTTGATAACTAAAAAATAAGAAGATTCATTTGAAACAATTGAAAGCAAAATGGTTCTTATTTTAAATTTGTGTTCCTTCTTGTAGATACAATGATGAAGTTTGCTTCATTTGAGACAATTGTTGAGATGATATATAAGTATGGTATTCCCACTCCCAAGGACCAGTGCAGCAAAAATCTACAGCTTGGTGTCAGTTTTGCTGGTGGTTATGTTGCTGGTGTCTTTTGTGCCATTGTTTCTCACCCTGCTGACAACCTTGTCTCTTTCCTCAACAATGCCAAAGGGGCAACCGTTGGTGATGTATGTTATATACCATGGAAGGGCTGTTCTTTTAGTTTTTTGTTTATTATTTCAATACAATGTGTGTTTACTTTTCATTGACAACTGTTTTTTGTGGATTGTGCAGGCTGTGAAGAAGCTCGGGATGTGGGGTCTGTTTACCCGTGGGCTTCCTCTCCGTATTGTCATGATTGGAACACTAACTGGAGCTCAGTGGGGCATATATGATGCATTCAAAGTCTTTGTTGGATTGTATGTTCCTCTTATGATTTTAAAGCTTCATTACATTTCCTCAAGGAAAAAAAAATGCAGCTTCATCACGGGTTAATCCAATTTGCTATCAAGTTATACTGACTAAGTCTGATACAATCTTTTCAGGCCAACAACTGGTGGTGTTGCTCCTGTGGCCCCCCCAGCAAAGGCATAGAATGTGGGAACCTCATAACAGTGTTGTCTTTTGTTAGTCCGGGACAAAACTTATCATAGAGATCAAATAAGTATAGGATTGCCAAAAATGGCTTGACTGGTTACAAAGGCCAGTTGAATTTAATTCTTTCACGTTCAATGCTCATTATGACTGCTGCTGGTTTTGTGGAGGATGGTTTCCAATACATCCTCAAATGGCTGGAGACATTTTTGCGAGCTAGATTATATTATATATAAATCTTCACTTGAAAGTCCAAATTAAATGTTGCCCCGGGAAGGAATGGTAACAAGAAATAACGGAGTATTTGTAGAGGGAATTTTTTGTTGGCATATATCCTTGTACGCTGAGATTGAGAAATTTATGTTCATTCTTCCCTTTTTCCTTTTCTTCTTTTTTTATTAATTCTGGAGGTTCGTGTTCAGGAAATTTGATCCTCAGCTAAAAGTATCAGAATGCCTTTTTTTTTTTTTTTTTTTTTTGGTGAAAAAGTTTCAGAATGCTTTCCTACGCTACAGATTTCACCAATTTCAGAACCTGAAGGTACATCGGTCCTTCCTCGCATTTGCAATACGTGACCAGGATTAAGATTTAGGACTTAAGAGTCTTGACAACTGATCGGGTATAATTGAACCGTTTAAATTATTTTTTGATGGACGAACCATCTTAGTGATTAGTGGTCAGACTTACGGTTCTTCTGGATGATTTGCAATTTTGAAATTATTTTTGTATAGTCAAAAGACACAAAAGCGAACATCCCATCAATATTAAAAGTAAAAAGCACGTCGTTATGGACGTTGGAGGTCTAAACCGACCGAACCGACATCGCTTGATTCTCTTCTCACTTTATTGCTCAAACTTGGAAAACCCGTAACCTCAATTTGTCAATTGTCAACTGAAATCGCTTGAGTCTCTTCTCACTTCATTTCTCAAACTTGGAAAACGCTTAACCTCAATTGTCGATTCTCAACTGAAATACCAATTATTCATTCACTTTCTAAATTCCTTCCATCTCTACTTTATACAAAATTTCTTAATGTAGATATCCTAAATGAGCCTAGAGAAATTATTGGCCTGTAAAAGAAAATGATGGTATGTGAATGATAGACAAGACATTAATTAAGCATGTTTGGTGGAGCCTAAAAAATAAAATTTTTT